TGAAGGAGGAGAAAAACGTTGCATGGAGAGGATTGGACGGAGAGGACCAGGAGGAGAGGGAGTTACTGCTGGAGAGGATGACGGAAGTGGTGCTAGATAGGAAAGTAGGTATAGCAGGATTATGGGAGGTGAGGGGGGATGATGGGAAAATGATAGTAATGGTGGAAATGGAGAAGGAAGAAGATAAAAGGGAATTATTGGAGAATGGGAGAATAATGTGGAGGAAGTGGGAGGTAGGAGTGGATGAGGATTTGACTAGGGAGGAAAGGAGAATTAGGTGGATAATGATGGATAAAGCGAGGAGAGAGAACTAGAGGAGGGAGAGAGGCAATGATCAATGGTAAAAGATTGTGGATAGAGGGAGAGGAATGGGAATGGAATGAAGAAGAACAGAGGTTAGAGAAGAAAAAGGGAGTAGAAAGAGGATAGGGAAAAGGGAAACAGAGGTTAGAGGAGTTAGGGAGGAGAGAGGGTAGTAGAAAACGGAGGAGGCAAGGTTAAAGGGAAGGGGGGAAGGGTCCCAGATACATTGTAAGGTCGCAAAATGGCCAGGAGAGGAAAGAAGGGATGAGCATTTGTATTATGGGAAAGGTGAGGGGGGAAGGGGAGATAGGAGTTGTTGTTTGTTTACGGTAGAGAGAGAAGCAGGATGGAGAAAATGGAGAACCGGAACCGGGATGAAAACAGAGACGGCTGTGAGGAGGGGAGTGAGAAGGAGTGAAAGAGAAAGGAGAGGACAAAAGGGAAAAGATGGATCATGGCAAACGGCAGAGGGAATGCAAGAAGAAGGAGGAAGAAAGGAGGGTGAGGGAGAGGAGAGAGGAGAAGAGGGGTTAAAAATTAAATTGTATTGAATGTATTATATGAAAATGTGTTATATGATGAGAGAAGAGCAAGGAGGATGTGCAGGGTTTGGCGAACCCTTGAAAACGCCTCGGAATTCCTTAAGAAGCCCGAAATAAACTCTATTAATACGTAAAAATAGATATTATTTCAAACTTTATTTCAAAGCATATTTCTTATTTCAAACTTTTCAAAGTTTGTTCAGGCAGGTGTACATTTTTTGCGAGATATTATATTCGGTTGAATAAAAAGCGTTTGGACCACGGCCCTGTCCTGTGACAGCCGCGTGATCGTATTTATTTGAATCCGCTTTCTCGTGTTAATCACGTGAATCTTCGACGCGCGCTCCCGTGGTCTGACGACGGGGATGCTTGAAGAATTCAGATCGCTTTGCGACAGTCTGTAAGACGGATCATCAGCGATTATTCGAGTCGATCTCGTGCATTAAGCACCGGGCAATCTTCCAAGTGCTTAAAGGCGTTTGTTTATCAACATTATTATATATATAGCAGAGAAAAGTATAGAATTGAAAGGATCTGAATAGCTCAGTTGTAAGAGCAGTCGCCCGGCAAGCGAAAGGTCTCGGGTTCGATTCCCGATTCAGCGACTTTTGGGTCTATATTTTTCTCTCGCATTTATTTCCTTAGGGGGGAACAGGGGATGTATGGAATTAAATCTCTTGTAGAGATTATTCCAATTTTAAATCTTGGCCGTGACCAAATAAAATTTGGTGCCTGGTGCACAAGTTTTTAATTCTAACGAAAAAATTTAGTTTTGTTGGGATAACGCACTGTCATCCGCGATTTGGCTCTTATTGCCCGTTTGACACTTTAAATTTATATTTATATTACAGAGCCTTCTTAAACTAATTTTCAAAACATTACACTTCTAATTGAAATCTTATCATTAAATAAGAAATATTTTTGTCGGCTCTCAATATTAATAATAATATATGTACGAAAATGATCTCGTATGCGTGATGCGAGTATTGCTATACGGAATGTTCCTAATCGTATTGCCTCGCCAAACCGTGATATGACGGGGAAATCTACGTAACATATGTAGTCAAATTTAGTTCTCAGGATCGAGATTTATTGTTGCGGTGCCGAGTAGATCAATGTACAGCAAATTCGTTGCGTTTGTTCGCCGGTTGTTGTGAATGCCTTAGTTCTTATTAACGCGACCGTTGGAACAAGAGTGCTCTCACGGAAATATCGATAGAGATCATCGAGACTCATCTCCCCCCACGTCCGTGTTCTCGGAACACGCCGAATTTCTCCGAAATGGGACGAGAAAGAAAGTAGTGAGATCACCGCGATCGGTGTCCAGCACAAGTCATATCGATTGTGTATCGAACAATATATGATATATTTTAAATCAGTCAATAGAGCCCAAGCGCGAAAAATTAATTTTTAGAACTGTATCTCTTGGTTTGAGATTACTAAGTTCCATATATAAATTAATCTCAAACTTACATATAGAGAAAAATAAGCGAGAAAAATATAGGTCCGAAAAGTCGCTGAAACGGGTGGGGCTGAAATCTTATCATATTTCTCAATCACAATCCATGATTTTTTTGGGAAATCGGATAGAATTTCAATAAGATCCTAGAATACTTGGGGGGGGGGGCGTTAGCCTACAAATCAATTGCCAACAGCATCATTTGCCGACATCCCATTTGCTAACATCTCGTTTAACTACAAAAAGTATTGCCAACAGATCGATTGCTTACTAATGCTATTGCACACAAATGAAAAATGAAGAGACGAACGTACGTTAGCACACATAACAGTTTTGCGCACAAATCGTATTGCACACAAAAATTATTGCCAACAGATCGATTGCGCACAAATAACAAAATAAGAGACGGAAGACTCCGATAAAGTTCCGAAAAGTATACTTACCCCCGATTTTTAAAACTCAAGTACCTTACGTATTTTGATGCGCTGATTACGAATATTTTTTAGTGAAAATTGGCGACCATTTGATTTTCATGGTGAACACCATGAAAATCCATTAAAAAATTAGTTTTTTAAGATTATTTCAGTAAATACAAAAAATTATGATAAATATTTTAGATAAAAGTTGTAGATCTTACAGAAATAAACATTTTATGTCTTATTCATTTTTACTGTACGAATAATAGTTTTCAACAAAAACGATGGAATTTAATTTTTGTATCTGCGTTCTATCTAAGCATGTACTTCACAGTATAATATACGATTACACATGGGTTTACAACTTTCCACGCAAAGCGAGGTTTCACGTAAACCTATTTGTTTAGTTTTTTAATAGTGGAGCCCCCGCAGGAGGGGGGCAGAACCCACTGTTTCCACGCATACGCTTTTCCACGCGAAGCGAGGTTCCACATGGGTTTGCAACTTTCCACGCAAAGCCAGGTTCCAAGCGAATCTATTTGTCTAGTTTTCTAATAGTGGAGCCCCCCGCAGGGGGGGGGAAGAGGCAGAACCCACTGTTTCTACGCATACACTTTTCCACGCGAAACAAGGTTCCACATAAGTTTGCAACTTTCCACGTAAAGCGAGGTTCTACACAAACTTATTTGTCTAGTTTTTTAGTAGTGGAGCCCCCCTGCAAAGGAGCAAAATTCACTGATTCCCTGCATACATTTTTCCACGCGTTTTCAGTAAGATCTAAAACTTTTGTCAAAAATATTTATTAAATATTGTTACGTCCCTGATCTTTCATCCCCTGAATATCATCCCTTGTGTCGTGGAGCTTCATCGTTAAGGGGGGTTGTTTATTGACAACCGCCCGGTGGTTGTTTTCAGGCTCCATGACAGTTTTGGTCTAGCTGTCATCTCGTACGGACGTGACTTGACCAGAGAGCAATCTTCTTTCTTTCGCGTGTACATTAGTCATTGTATTTCATCATTGTATAAAGGATCATTTCTTCATAAGAGAGTGTATTTATTTCGCGAGCCGCGAGTGAGTGAGAGTGTGTGCGAGAGACGTCTTTTGCGAGAAAGAACGTCCGGAGGACGTAACAATATATATATAATTTTCTGTATTTACTGAGATAATTCTAAAAAACTCATTTTTTAATGGTTTTTCATGGTGTTCACCATAAAAATTAAATAGTCGCCAATTTTCACTAAGATATTTGTAATCAGCGCATCAAAATACGTAAGAATACTTGAGTTTCAAAAAATCGGGGGTGAGCATACTTTTCGGAACTTTATCGGGGTCTTCCGTCTCTTACTTTGTTATTTGTGCGCAATTAAGCTTGTAGGCAATCGATCTGTAGGCAATAATTTTTGTGTGCAATACGGTTTGTGCGTAATAGAGCTTGTAGGTAATCAAACTGTAGGCAATAATTTTTATGTGCAATACGGTTTGTGCGTAATAGAGCTTGTAGGTAATCAAACTGTAGGCAATAATTTTTGTGTGCAATACGGTTTGTGCGCAAAACTGTTATGTGTGCAAACGTACGTCCGTCTCTTCATTTTTTATTTGTGTGCAATAGCATTAGTAGGCAATCGATCTGTTGGCAATACTTTTTGTAGTTAAACGAAATGTTGGCAAATGGGATATCGGCAAATGATGCTGTTGGCAATTGATTTGTAGGCTAACGGGGCCCCCTCGAATACTTTTCTATACGGGTATACTTCATTATAGTGTTCTGGAAAACTTTTGAGGTAAGCTACAAGAATATGCAATAAAAATGGGGGTTCGTAATAAAGAAATTGAAAATGACCTTTACGTAACATTTAAGACTATTCAAGGTCAAATCTCTCTCTCAGTGGCACCATCTTATGTTCTCCTTTGAAACAAACAACTTTTGTTCGAAACATTTTTTCGCATATTCTTCATATTTTTAGAGATATTTATATGTCTAAGTTAAAATGGGACAACCTGTATATACATACATGCACGCACGCACACATGCAATATTACATTTTAGAATTTTACTGGGTTTCGACTTGAAATATTATTTGATTTAACGTTGGTAGTATTGGTATTTATATTAATAAATAAATATTGTTATAAATATTTAGTGCAGAAAGTAGTAAATCTGTTTTTAAATAAAGAATTAAAAACGTAGAAATTTAGTGTTTCTCCATTTTAATGTGCGCTTAATGATGAATATGATAATTATTATTATAGCTTTTATTTATATTCATTTTTCAGCTTTTTTGGAATATTATTTTCTTGTGTCGATGTACTTCTGGCTAATTACCATGAGTTTTAATATGTGGCGGACATTTAGGTAAATGGTTAAGTATTTTATATTGTATTTTATATTTGACTTAATTGCCTCTCATTTTAATTCGTCATTTCAAAATTGTTTTATAGTATTAAACAAAATAAAAATTTTGTTAAAATAACGTAAATTTATTGAAAGTAAAAATGGCATAATGAACATTTAAAATTTTTAATTTATAAAATCTTAATTTAAAATTTTTATTTTATAAAATATTTATGAAACATTACAACGTTGTCTAATTTGCAATAATGAAACAAACTCTTTTTATTTTTTTTTTTATATTATACAAGTTTGATATTTATACCGCGTTGATCTTTTTATGTTTAAAATAGGGCAATACACGATAATTTTTTGACATAAATATATTTGAACCTCTGAAAACTAAATAAAAATTTAGATTACCTTGTTTGTAGAATATTTATGTAATTTTATAATAGTTTCTAAATGCCATACAATAATATATCTCGTTGTAATTGAGTCATGTGTCGTATTACGTAAATGTAAATATACTCTTATAGTTGCGTAGAATAAATTTTCGAGAAAGACTCGTTCAAAGGTAAACATTAATTTAACCCTTTTACCCCTTAAGATTTCTTCTATCTATATTTATTTAGTTAAATATGACATATAAATTGCAGAAAATTCTCTTCGTTAGTAAGAAACGTCAAACAATCAGGAAAAAAAAAGTTGGTATATTGTGTGAGTTTTGCGTACGGTTGTCCATTTATACTTGCTATTGTTTGTGTCATCGTCGTGGATTTTGTTTCCGAGTATATACCAAAAAATTTGAGACCAGAATTCAAAATGGGAAATTGCTGGTACAATAGTCAATGTACGTCTCACAACTTTATTAATGCTACGCATATTAAAAGTGTGTGAAACATATAAAACGTATAAAATTTTATGACATGTACTGACAGATCAAGAAGCATATGTGTTGTATTTTTACTGGATCAAAACTGCCTGTACCATTAGTAGCATTTGCTTATCCATCTCCACAGCATTGAATATCAAACGCTACGAGAAGGAACTATACTTTCATCTAACAGATTCAGAAAGCAAGCGGCATAATGTTAATAAGATATGGTGAGTATTCTGACATTTTTGCATCGCTGTGTGTGTAATGTTTGTGTGCTTTGTATGCTGTTCATTATAACCTCTTAGAATACATACATAATAATGCATCGCCCGTATGTATATTTTCGTAATGTCGTAAATAGTGAGAATAAACAAATACATTAATTTCATAAAGAAAGATATATTTTTGTAGAATTTCTTTAAACAATCAACATTTCTCATGTCCCCCCTTTTTAGAATTGTAATTTGTTCCATCATTTATAAATTTAATAATTTGGTATATAGAATTTATTATTTTTATTGAAAGATGGTAAATATTAATATATATTCATTTGCAGGTTTAATCTATATATGAATTTATTTATGGTGATGTTTATCATGATGGGCATAAATTGGTCTGTGCATACAATTTCATGGTGGTTTGTATATCAAACTGATTATTATTATTACATTGTTTATGTTACTGGTTTGTTAGATGTAGTGCAGAATTTCTGCACCTTTATCATATTTGTATGGAAGAAGAAAATTAAGTTGATGTTACTGAAACGATTCGGATTCAGCACGTGAAAGATTTATCCGATGTGATTGAATTCCAATGTTGTATTGTGTAAAGAAAAGTTTTATCGCAAATTTAAAATTAAAATCAAAAGTAACTTTACAACGTTTTATTTTAATGTTTACGTTTCTTCAAAGGATTTAATTTAATTTTTGTAGAAAGTTTAATTTGTCTTATTGTTGCATATATAACTAACAAAAGGACACTACATCCAGTATATCGAGAATCGGGACGCCGTTTTTTTTGGTGATTCTAGAGGTCAAAAAAAATATGTGTCTTGGCTGTTTGTCGAATGCTCCGTGATTTTCGAGTTAAAATTTTTTTTTTAAATCAAAAAATGCAGCAATGATTAAAAGCTAAATCGTAGGTCGCAAGTTTGATTCCATGTCGCGTAACTTTTTTTGTTTTAACTTGCTAGTTTTGAAAAAATGTAATTATTTAAATGTATTTATTTATTTATTTATTTAAATTAATAACATTCAAAAAGTTTATTTAAAAAATTTTGTTTATTTATATATTATTTTTATTTGAATTATATTTGTTATTTATTGTACATTATATACATGTATATATTATTTAAATTTTATTTATATTTAAAAATTTTATTACTATTTTATTATTTTCAATACCATCTGTGTTTGCTCATTCTGTTCTCCTTTATTTATTTCAAACACATATTCGATAGATATTTTTAAAAGGATTTCATTATTAGTTTAATTAATTGTATATAATACAAATATATATTGGAAAAGAGAAATAAGAGGAGATAAATATCAGAATTTGTTTAAAAATTTCATTTACTGATTAACATTTGTTACAGAACATTTACTTGGGTGATATGCATCGTAAAAACAGTTGAAACCAATAAATCGGTGACAATTTGCGCAATGGATGAAAGAAAGTTCCCCACATGTACATTTCTTTTTTCTTACTTCCGATGAAAAACAGACCTGATTAACGTTTGCGAATACGTTTTTCGTCGGAATTAATTTTGACGCAAACCATGCGTACTCGATCATTTCATTAAATAAGTTTGAAGAAAGTTGCGAGTGAATTAATGAATGTATTTTGATATGAATGTATTTTGAATGTATTTTGAATTTTTTGAATGTATTTTGAGGATCTTCGTAGGAAGAGAGCTGTCGGTTATTTTGCAGAACTTCTACAGAATTTTGAATTCTTTTGATGAAATTCTTCATCTGCCGAAAAAAATACACGTCACATGGTCGGCAGTATGGCGTGCAGTGTGGAGGAATAATTTCCACCGTTAAAGTACAATTGCCTTCATCATCAGTGAAGACACTGTTAAAATGTATCTGTTTGTCCACCCCATGAATCCAAAGTGAGTAGAAACTCTTGGTTGTAATAGGGTTTTATGATGCGATCGACGAATTCATCAAAGTGTGCTTTCGTCAATTTTTCCGATTTTGAAGCGGTAATATGTACATTGCCATAAATTTCTGATATCGTTTTGATCGCCTCCTGACACGAGGCCCAAACGTTCCCTTCGGTTCCTGCATACACAAAAATACTTGTGGCAAAACTTTTCCTGAAGCAGTTTTTGTATATTGGGCCGTATATGAATGTGTAATTTTATTAAAATCTCCCAAAAAAACTTCTGTAGTTTTTTCGCCTTTATCGGAGAGAATTCGTCGCACAACAGCGCGGTACTCGCAACCAGTTTGATCGGTGTTAATAATGAAGTCCCTTTGAAATTTTACAATTTGTTTAGCAATGCAATTTTGAAATATTTTTGCTTCTCTAATATTTGCGATATATCTAATGCATTTTTCTTCACTTGGGAAGCCCATTTTCTCAACATCCTTGTTGTTACTGGCTTTTTTTTCTTCCTGATTTCTTGAAAACGGTCGAAGGTCTATTTGTTTATTGTATCATATTTTTCTTTATTGCCACCACCACGCTCGATCTTTCGACGCCATGCAGTTAACTGACTTTTACTTTTAAACGCTCTTTTTCCATGTTCATGAATGGTCTTCAAACTCCACTTTGGGGTGTTCTCTTACCATATTGCGATTTTTATTTTGGTTTCTAATGGGATAAAATTCACAATTTTTACCTCTTTTTCTCCGGTTCGTAATCACTTCCTGCTTGCGAGAAAACTGACGTACTGGATGAATATGTGCTACAAGTATCTGTTTTCTCCGGCGATGAATTGCATGATTCTAGTTCTTCTAATTCGTCTGCCGAAACATCTTTCTCCGGAAGAAAAAGATCATGATCTTCGTAGAAATCGGAATTCTTCATAACATTAATACAGGCTTCGGCCATTTTCTTCTCCAGCAATATTGCTTTATTGCTAGTAATGGCATCATTTGGAATTCCTTCACAAATTTTTAAGGACTGTAACGTATTAGCACAAACTTTAAAATCGTCCGTAATGTCATGTTTTATATAAGATGCCATAAATGAAAAGTCGCCTTCATGAGTACTATTTCCGCTTGTAGATGATTTATAAACGGTACTTTTAATTTTGGACATTTTGGAAATTCACTTTTTTAGTTCACCAGATATAATCTTCACTGCAGCTGTTTGCAAGACTGACGCCACTGTGAACTAATTCCACTGATGGTCCGTCAGTAACAGAAACAACACCATATCGTATTACCACTCATACTTATCAAAATAAACGATCACGATACAATACGGTTATACGACATAAACCGATTTATTTGTTTCAACTGTTTTTACGATGAATATCACTCTAGTAAATATTCTGTAACTAATGTTAATCAGTAAATGAAATTTTTAAACAAATTTTAATATTTATCTCCTTATTTCTCTTTTCCAATATGTATTTGTATTATATACAATTAATTAAACTAATAATAAAATTCTTTTGAAAACATCTATAGAATATGTGTTTGAAATAAATGAAGAAAAACAGAATGAGCAAACACAGATGGTATTGAAAATAATAACATAGTAATACAATTTTTAAATATAAATAAAATTTAAATAATATATACATATATATATAATATACAATAAATAACAAATATAATTTAAATAAAAATAAAATATAGATAAAAAAATTAAAAAAATAAACTTTTTAAATATAATTAATTTAAATAAATAAATACATTTAAACAATTACATTTTTTCAAAACTAGCAAGTTAAAACAAAAAAAGTTATGAGACATGGAATTAAACTTGCGACCTACGAGTTAGCTTTTAATCGTTGCTGCACTTTTCGATTTTAAACAATTTTTTAACTCGAAAACCACGGAGCATTCGACAAAACGCCAAGACACGTATATTTTTTTGGCCTCTAGAATCACCAAAAAAATCAGCGTCCCGATTCTCGATGTACTGGATGTAATGTCCCCTTGTAAATCAAATTAATGGTTTAGATTTTGTAAACATTTTTCTTCAAAAAATAATCTTGTATAAAAGCTATACAATATATTATGCTGTATTAGTTTAAAAAAGATTTCTGATTCAAATAATAATGTATTATATATTTATAAATATATGTATGCGTATGAAGGTGTTACGTATTGCGTACTTCACGATTCTTTTCTTTCCCACAACCAAAGCGGAGTTTGTTCTTAGATGGATAGGAATGCAGGAAACAATCAACTGAACGGCGCGTATAATAAAATCGAAAACGTGTCGGTACAACCGGATATATTGGGAAGGCCTAGCAAATATCATAAATTGTTAGGCGGGCACAAAAGTGCCGAAAGTAAGGGAAAATATATATTTATATACCCATAAAAATTGGTGCCGAGCGAAGCAGAAATTCTTGTGTAGAAATCGAGAAAACACACCAGCAACAAAGCACCGGAAGTAAAGTTTCCTCAAGAGAATAAAATTCGAAAATCCGCTCGTTGATCCTCGGTAATTAAGTCATAAATCGGCAACCCCGTCAATAAAAGAACATAACTAATAACCGCCAAACATCCTGACATATGCCGAGGAAATCTAAAAACAAACATCACCGGCGATACCTAATTTCAAAACATCCTTGCCTTTTGGAAACAAACTCCGATTCGAGGATCCTCGCAATAAAATTTCCGATTCGTCGATCTTTAGAAATCACCTTGTGGGAAAGGGAAACTAAAAATATTAAAAATTGCATTTACGGATTTCTATTCGCAGAATCTTGTTCGCAACATCCTGACATATGCCGAGGAAATCTAAAAACAAACATCACCGGCGATACCTAATTTCAAAACATCCTTGCCTTTTGGAAACAAACTCCGATTCGAGGATCCTCGCAATAAAATTTCCGATTCGTCGATCTTTAGAAATCACCTTGTGGGAAAGGGAAACTAAAAATATTAAAAATTGCATTTACGGATTTCTATTTGCAGAATCTTGTTAAGAGGATAAAACAATGGGTGTAAACCAAAAAGGGATATAAGTGCGAACATTGCCACGGAACGGCACTACCTTTTTTCGCTCGTAAAGTGTGCTATTCGTACTACTTGTATTTTTCGATTGCGTATTACTGCTTTGTGCTAAGTGTCTCCGACGAACCACTGAGCCACCACCTGTCTCAACCGAGCCTAACTTATCGATCGCTACAAGTAGTAAGTCTATCTAATACATTTACATCTTTATCTTGTACTCAAAATAATTCTCGAAGTTCAATTAAATAATTAAGTGTCATGTTTATTTTATTATCTTCTTATTTCGTTGGTAGATTTACTACCTATCTGATTTTTCCCTTCCTTTTTTTATCTCTCTCTTGAAATTATTCTGGATTCTCTGCAACTGCAGATGAATTTGTGATTTCTTTCATCTCTCCTGAAGCCACTCTGGATTCTTTGCAAGAGCAGAGAAATCGTGATTTCTCATTTCCCTCCAGCGAATTATGAAATAAAAAGGAATATATATATATATATATATATATATATGTGGGATCCGCGAAAAAGAATCGGGCCTTCGGGTGACTAGACCGGGACTCGAACCCGGAACCTTCCGCTTGCCGGGCGACTGCTCTAACCATTAAGCTACCTAGGCCCTCTGCCTAACCTTCTCGCATCACCCACTTACGCGTTATGGAGGAGTCCCGATACTACACTCGGCCGTCCTGAATTGACATTCGCCCTCG